TGTCAGCAACATTTTCGACAATCTATAAGTAGAATAAGCAGAAATCATGTCATTATAGACCATACATCATCATCAGACTTTATATCAATGACATTGAAGCTTATAACAATTAATAATGAATTGGAATTTTATAAACATGTTAAAAGCTTACAAGAAAGATGGCCCTTGGTGAATTCATGGTTATAATGATGGGTTTACACTGATGCAGGACCAATGATTTTTCCTGCACTAAGCACTATGAATAGGGATTTGTCAAATTTACTTCCTATTTCAACAAATGCCCAAGAATCCATGCACTGTCATTATTATTTATCAGGTGCAACTCAACAGTCAATAATAACTGGTATGTGTTTACAGTATAATAATAACCTTGTTTCAATGGACTTTGTTTCAATGGATTATAATAATAATTAAATTTGCATTTCAATGGATTATAATAATAATTAAATTTGCATTTCAATAGATTATAATAATAATTAAATTCACATTTCAATGGATTATAATAATAATTAAATTTGTGTTTCAATGGATCATAATAATTAAATTTGTGTTTCAATGGATTATATAATAATAATAATAATTAAATTCACATTTCAACAGATTATATAATAATAATAATAATTAAATTCGCATTTCAACAGATTATATAATAATAATTAATTTGCATTTCAATGGATTATAATAATAATTAAATTTTCAACAGATTTCAAATGAAATTTTCTTATGTGTCCAGTCACTTACTCCATTGAAACAAGGGTTATACTGTATTACTATTCATATTAATAATGCATTAATTAATTCAATTATCATAATTCATTTAATAGGTATAGAGAATCTTTTGTTGTTTGCAATTTCATTAGAAATGGATTATGATGATCTAAGCAAAGGTGTTTCCTTAAGGTACGGAGAACCTGAAAGGTGGAAAAGAGTAGCAGAAAAATATGGCACAACAAAGCCAAGATATGCCAAAAGATCGACTAAAGGTGCTGGTGTGAAAGACCATTACCCACCAGATACAACTAAAGCTCTGTTAAAAAAATCCCCAAAGAAAATGATTGATGAATCTGAATCTGAAAAAGAAATAATCCCCCAAAAATATCAATCATACCCTCACAATAGATATTCATGTTATATTACAACTTTATTAGAGTTGCTGTATAATAATTTTCTTAAAGACAAAGAATGGTGGGACACAAATGTTGGAATTATCAATGAAGATAATTCAGGAATTAAGAAACTATATATCAGCTTCACAATTCGTAATCAACCAAAAGCTACAAAAAAAACCCTTTCTGAGGCAAGAGAATTGATCCGCCATTATGTTATAGATGAAGGATGGGAAAATGATTACGAATTTGGATCATTGACTTTATGGTTTTATAATGTGATTTTGGAGAAGAGAAGGTCATTGAATATAATTTCACATTTTTGTGTACTTGGGCTAAGGATGTGGAAGTGTGATGAAGGACATATTCGTATTTCACCAGCACCCATCAATCCATTTTTTCCAGTTAATGGAACAAGAGATTTTGATGGTCCATATTTTACAGTAAACACTAATTTAGTAGGTGAAATGTCAGCATTTTTTACAATGAAAAATAAGTTGATAAATTGTGTTCATCCTGATGAACCTTGTCAACATTATCGGGCTAATATGAGTTTATGTGACAAAAGGAAACACCAATATGAAGAGCTTATTATATCATGGCCAACTTTGTTAATATTTGAGGTCACTGGAGATGTGGATAGCTATAATTCATCTGAGCATTTAAATTTTCCTTTGAACCTCAATTATAACAATGATGGAATAGGTTCAATTAGATATAATTTAACAGCAAGGGCATTTAGTACAACATCAAGTGGAACTCACTTTTATGCTAAAATAATTCACAACAATGTTGTTTATAGATATGATGACTTAAAAAGTCAAGGAGTTGCGTCAATTGAATCAAAAGATCCAAATTCACTTTCCGGGAAACATTCTAATTCCGTTTTGGTTGCTTATGATTTATGTGAAGAAGAGGCATCTACTAGGTTTTCTAATAATTGCATAGGTTAGTAGTGTCAATTAAATATTAAATTAAAATAATATGAAATTTTTTTTTAATAATTCTATAATTTTTCGCAGAAATCTTATTAGAAAAATTGTCAAATTTTGGAATTGAAATTCCCAAAGAAAAAACTACATCAGCAATTGATTGTGAGTATTCATATGTATATACAACCCTTTTTTATTTTTACTTATTAGCTGTACTAAAAAGGTTTATATTTTTATTTTAGTAATTGAATATTTCACAGAAAAGAAAAATCAATTTTACAAGTAAAAAATTTTATTCATTCATATTTTGCATTTTTACGTTTTTTTATTTTATAAGATTTATTAATTTAATTTTATTATATATAGTGCAAAAGTTACTGAAAATAAAGAAAGAATTGTTTGCCATAGCAAAAGAATCAAAACTGAGAACAAATCAAAAGATTATTATTATTAATTAGATTGTTATTATGATTTATGTTCATGATTTTATTTCATACAATTTTGTCTCAAATCAAAAGATTATAAATAAAAATAAAAATCAAGATTTTAAATAAGGAATAAATGGATATGGGATAATATATTTATGACAAACAGCTTTCACCTGTGTTTGCCCATGAATAATAAAAAAAAACAGTGGGACAAAGTGGTAATGGCACAGTAACCCATCCTTTGTTTGCCTGTCCTTTCCCATAAATAATATAAAAGGACATGGGATGGGTAGTAATGACATAGAAACCTGTCCCTTTTTCACCTGTCCTTTTCAAGATTTTCCCAATGAATAATAGAAAAGGATGGGGGACGGGTTTCTGTGCCTTGACCCACACCATGCCCATCCCTCATAATTGCCCGTCCTTTTTTATATTATTTTGAAGAACACCCGTACCATTTCCTGTCCTTTTCTAGTATTAATGGGCAAATCTTGAAAAGGATGGGGGACAGGTTCAAGCCACACCTGCCCATCCCCATCCTTTTCCAGCATCCCAATAAAAATCATTAATAAATCAATTGTTAATATTGTTAATAACAACCTTGATAACAACAACATATAATAACTCTTAATAAATATATAACCTTACATAAAATAGTCTTTGACTGTTGTGAGATCAAAATTCCACGTCTCACACAAATCTCTTGGTTTTTATTTATGATGACATGCCAATACAATTTTCCCATTTATTTATACTAAATCGTAATAACAATTTCTGCGAATGTATATTTATGCTTTACTCTCAAAACTATCTTTTACTATCATTAAACAATTTCTTATACTAAGAAATACTAAACAATA